AGGAGGAGAATGATACGAATTGTATAAATTGTGACGGAAATTGGTTAATGGTTTTCAACTGACAGTGTAAATTGTTCATGCAATTTCTCATCGCGAAATTTGTTTGGAATTTGTATCACTTGTTTCTATAGCTCAATTAAAGAACAAATTTATGGTGTGATTTAGGCGACGAGATTTTATTGCCTCGACTGAGACTGAGAAGTTTTCATGATTTCGTCCCTTGCGTCCCTTGACGAAAACAAACGTGTCAGTGAAATTCGCTTCTATTGTCTAGTAAAAACAGTCTCAACCAGGCAAACGAGAAAATATAAGTTAAGTAGCTGCAGAAAATTATATTAGAAGAATTCAATGTGATATTTCTGCTCATTTTCAAACGACTTGAATCACTTCTGCGATACAATAAAAGAGGGGTTTTTTTTCAAATTTCTGAGAAATATTATGTATGATGTGAATAACGATAACAGTTAAATATTGTTGACCTTCCTCATATTAAGTCCGAATTATAAGAAATACCGTGCGAACCACATTATTGAATCATAAAAAATACCGTACGAACATGCAAAAATTCGTTTGTTAAGGTAGGCAAAAAAAGGTTGGACATAAAAATGAATATACAGGTGTCGACATTCCACGCTTTTTTCGGCGTTCTGGTGGAAACGCTTACATAATTGTTAATGATAATGTTAAAGAATGAATGAATGCCATTAAAAAAATATTAGTAGAAAAAAAGCGACGAGGACATTCCCTCCGAAGAATGAAGACAATGACAATATTATTGTGCACTTAAATTTAATGTTAACAAATTGCGAGACCAAGAGAACCTTTGACAGAAACCAATGTGGCGTATCAATTTACGATAATATCTAATGAGATTACACAAAATCACCAGTTTCCATTTCAATATGAAAAAAAATTTTGCACAAACGAACTCATCGAAGATAGCCTGGTGGTTGTTCCGCAGATCGTCTCTCTAGCGCCAAAGTCCCAACCCTGTTTTCGGCAAAAGAACACAACTGTCATTGAAAAGTCCATGAAGTGAGCTCCGAACGAATGAGAAGAAATGGAGAGCAGTGACCACGCACACCACCTCTTACCCAATGGATATGCAGACATAAATCGACGAAACTTGGACCACGATTAGAACCATTTATTCTTAAAGCATAAAAATAAAAAAAGAAATTCTTCAAAACTGCAGCACCAGAGAAAGGTTAATTAATCGAAATAATTAATTATAATTAATAAGAAATAATCGAAATTAATTGAAAAATTAAGCAAACAAAATGAAAAGAAGAGCAATGTCGAAATTTGCCACTCTTTTTTCGGCCAATTTTGTCCAAATTTTCTTTTATATAAATAAATTAAAAGTTAGCATTTACTATTCCCAGTCAGACTAGCTCTGCTGGCCCTTAATGTGGTTGAAAAATTTTGCCATGGAACTTTCACTTGCCGATAGAAATACAGATGGCCGCGAATACCACTCGGATTTTCTTGACAGGTTTCTGCCGAAAATTTTACCCAATTTTACTATTTTCATCAATTTTAGATCTAAATAGATGTAAACGCTTTTTAAGCATTTATGATGCAAAAAAAACTTTGAGAATAAGAACTCCGCAGACGAAGTTGTAAAAATGTGTCAGTACTAACCAGATTCTGTATCCTCTGTAAAGTGTATCCTCTTTTTTGACTGTGTGGATCTATTGTTACTCCGCAGAATTTTGCCATTTTCATAATAAAATATAGTCTAATAGGGCCGAAAACTTTTTATGGAGAAGGAAAAATTTTTTTCATTCTGGCCCCTATAATATAAATTTTTGAATTTAAAATTTGAAACAATCTGCTTTTAAATTTGAAACACAAATTTTTGTTCGGGAACTTTTTTAAATCTAATAAAAACGCAGACTTAGCAAATGTAAATAAAATGTAGTCCGACAAATGAATAATCCCATCACACATAAGCACATAAGCACTGGTATCCAAATCCATGAGCGCAGCTTATTGATTATTAATACAATTATAATTTTTTAAATAAAAATTTGTCAGCAATTCTGAACCACAATTTTATTAATTGAAAATCAATTACATTAACAAATTCTTATTTACTAACGTTGCACCATATAGCCAAAATTCATCGAAAAACTAGGGAAAATGAGAGATAATGTAAAATTTAGGAAAGAATAAATAAATAACAAAGATGTGAATTTTAAGATGACTAGCAGTTGCAGAAACATAAAATTTAACCTGACGATTTGATCCATGCTGATTCACATTTTTAAAAGATGCAAACCATGTGCAATCATTAGTTTCAATTATGACAAATAAAACGAATATAAAAAAGAATTATTTTCCATAATCGGAGAATTTTTGAGACAAAGTATTTAATGATGCAGTTAAAATTGCTAATGATTGTACAGTACCATTTTGTTTTAAATCCCCAATCAATTTTTCCGATACAAATATTTTAAAGCGATCCGAAATAATTCCTTCATTTAACTTAGACAGTAAGATGCCACATTGCTTTGCAAGAGTAGGTCGCTTAGTTGTACTTTCCAATACCAAATCTGCAGTAACTATCCACAGTACTGATACATCAAGTTCATCTCTTGTTTGCCAACTAAAGAGTAACATAGTAAATAGGGCCAAAACTATTAAATAAAGTCAAAGATAGGAAGAGGATTATTTACTTATTACTAAAATAAAAATCATTGCTAACTGTGAATCAAAAAACAATCCTCACTGATAAATATTAGAAACTAAGACCAAATAAATACTTTTAAGAAAAATGAACATATAAAATTACCTCTCCAGCACATTAATTAGCTCAACAACAACATCTCTTTTTACTGTATAATACAAATTTGAAGCAGATAAAAGTTGAGCCAATGTTACCAAACCTTTCATGAATATATCTAAAATTGTTCAGTTCAAATAATCTATCAACTCTACGAACCAGAAAGAACAAGAAGGAAATTACAAAAACAGTCGAAAATGCATCAAAAATCAATTTAAAACTCACCTTGATCACATGGCATAAGAACGTGAGGTAAAGATGCAGCAACTTTACCCAAATATTCGTTATGATCCTTGGTTAAATCTTTTATTTCTTTTATATCTGTTATTTCCTCATCAGAATCGGATCTATAAATAAATTGGCAAAAAATGTAAGAAATTTTGGATAATTTTATAGCAACCTTATTTCATACCTTTATATCCTTTATAAATAGCATAATACTGGTGTTAAATAGGGTTCATTATTTGATACTCGAATAAAAAAAGAAAATATCACAAAAAATTTTGTTGTATTTCATTCTTTTTTGAATCGAAAAAATGAATACAAATAATATATTTTAAAAAATAAAGAATTATTTTATTTTATTTGCTGCTTTGATATAATATTCATAATATTCACCAACTTTGTCAAAATAAGATTTTTGAAAATGACTGTAAATTTATCACCTTTTGCCTTCATTTCTGATAATTTTCATTAAGAAATTCGCAAAATCTGATGCCACACCACTTGCTTGAATTTTTTCACAAAACACTGATGAACAAAATATCGCATCAGCACTGTAAAAACGGTTTCGTCGGTAACACTCTCTCCACAGTGGTGAAAATTTCTAAAGCACAATAATCATTATATAGTTACAATCCCCTTTTCAATACAATTTTGAACAGTAAAATGTAAAACGCATCAATAAAAATTGTGAAACAATATTGAAAAAAGAATTTGTTTTTTAGTTGTCAAAGAATTGCTTTTGCACCGCAATTCTGAATAATAATGTAAGTTTCTAACAAGTAAACAGAATAAGCAAAAAATACCTTCTTAATTATTTCTTGATTATCTTGCCAATTCGTCAACAGCTTATGGCTGGCATGAAGTAGCAAAGATTTTACAGCACTTATAATTTTAATTTTTCCATCCCAAACATGGCCTTTTAAAAGGCTGATTAGTACATCATATAAATGGTCTTAAAAAAATGATTTATAAAATCAATCAATATAACATATTTTAAAATCTGATTTTTGAAAAAAATAAAAGCAACTGACTACAACTGGCTACCTGCTTCAGAAGGACATATCTGTTCAGCAGTAGATTCGATTGTATCAGCTAACATAGTAGCTGCTTGAGCTTTTACAGCATGAATATTAGATGTATTCAGTATATTGAGAGAAACATCAAACATTTCATTTTTATACATTCGTATTGCCGCTTTACTGTCTAATAATAATGAGAAAATAATAAAAAATAAAATTATTGAAAATTTTTTTAAAAATACTGCATAAAATTATCTAAAAACCACACGATAAAATACTTATGATACGAACACATCTCGACATTCGAAATAGACAAACCTGAGAACATCTCAGTAATCAGTTCGCGCCACATTTCCAAGATTTTTTTCGCAGCAACATCATTCTTATTAACTATAAAATAAAATAAAAGATGAATCAATTAACTGATCAAACAGATAATTGACAAGAAAATGCAATCCTTAGGAATCTTAAAGTCATTTAAAGTCATTACCTTCTTGACAGCTGGAGAGATACACGTGAGGAAAAACTGAGGCAGCGTTAGTAGTCAAAAAATCATTATTACTGGAAACCATTGATTGCAAGAGATGAAGAACACAGAACTTGGGATTTTCTATAAATATTTACATTCAAGGACTAAATGCTATTAGACGGCCAGTGATCACCAAACTGATCTTTATGGACATTCTAGGATCCACGGCGATACGTGGGAATTAATTCCAATTACTTTAATACTTTTATCTGAATGGCAACAAATCATTTTTAATGATTACTTTATGCTATTTATTATATTTGTTTAAAACTCAAGTGGAAAAATTAAATAAATACTTGAAAATTTTAAAATTGAGAAAACTGCATTTAGGATCATGGATTTTATGGATTCTTATGTATATAATTTAGAGTGGGCATGCAAAAAATTTTGACGATTAGCCCATATTATGATCAGAGCTATTCAAAAATCAAAGTATTCGTTAATTTGCATAATTCATCTTAAAAAAACATTGATGAAAATAAAGATAAAAAAGAAAACCTTGATCATTTTGCAAGCTTTCTGCGATGAATTTGAGTAAAATTTCAGTCTTACTTTGGGAACAGTATTTGATAAGATGAGCAATTGTTTTACAAAATTGTTTTCGTATAGTTAAATTTCGATCTTGCAGGCCCAAAAAAAGAGTTTGAAGCATTTTGTCTAAAACATTTTTAAAGCCTAAAAATTTTTAAAATTTCAAATAAACACTTAAACTTATTAACTTAATAAACTTTATTTATTTTTTTGATTTTTTGATATTTTTAAACTACTGTATTTTAAAGTTGTTTAGTTGTTTAATTTAACTTTAATTATTATTATAAGACCAATACAATATAACAACGGTACATTGATGGCTCAGTGGTAAATAAGATAATTGGCGTCAATCATCGAGCTTGAAAGCATATTTCCATAATCGCTGACAATAAAAAAAAATCTGGACTGTTTTTGCCACTTCTGCATTAATAATATAGATATAAAATCTAGGCTGGGTAATCTCTGGTTCTTCGCCACTTATCGTAGAAATTGACGCATATCTTGCAAAGCCTTGTGACCTTATGATGGACAGCTTAAAGGCAGGCTTAGATTAAAGTGGCTCCCGCTATTCTATTATAATAATGAATCGAGAACTTTGGAAACGCCTTATTTTTGTAGCTAGTTGAGTAATAGCGCGTACTGTTAAAGATCGCCCTTTATAAATTTATTGCAAAAATAATCTGGGTATATCAAAGAAAAAATACCACAAATTGATTTTGAAGTAGCAAGCAACTGTTGACAGCGTAAGCACATATTAATTACAAATTGACACGCTCCAGTTCGAGTAGTCAGACCGAAACTCGAATGTAACTGTTCACAAAGCCTGCTAAATAATGGTGGCAAAATATTTTCATCAATTATTGGTATTAAGTCAAATAGCGAAGACATGATTGGTGAATTATGAGCGAGAGAAATACGAGCAGAATCAATCTGAATAAACGACATATCAATCAATTTTTCAGTTCAAAAAAATAATAGAACCTATACAGACATCCACGTATAAGAAGATAATTGTTCTCTTTTAAAAATAATTTTACAATAAAAAAGAATGAAAAATTCAATTTCTAAACATCAAGCAAGTATAAATATATTAAGAAATGAGCCATACTGAGAAATTCAAATTTAAACTGAAATTCAAGTACAAACCATTTCTACTTCAGATTCATTTGATCGCACAGCAATAAAATTCAATGAAGCAGGTTCTAAGTCACTCAAAGCATCTAATAAACAAGGAATAATTAATACAAGGTGTTTTTGCAAAACAATTCCAGCATCTTTTGATAAACCCATTATTGCTTTCAAGCTAAATTTCCAATGATTGAATAAGCAAAATATAATTTGAAATAAATAAAACTTTTTTAAAACAACCAATCAAATAATGTACCTCAATAATTTAACAGTTTTGACAGGTGAATTCAACCCATTCTCAATAAGCACTGGCAGAACGATGCTCAAAATTTGCGAGGCTTTTTCGCCTCGTATCGACGAGCATTCGCGACGCGTTATTTTGATTAATACCGTTAATGACCGATTTGCAGCCACTCGAACAGATTCCTTAAGATCATAGAAAATATGAAAAAATCTTTATAACAGAAAAATTCACAAAATCAATCGCTTATAGAAAAATTTTAAAGAAGTAACCTTAATATCATCAATTAGGCGAAATAGATTTTCATAAAGATCAGTGAATTTATCAATCATATCTGTAGAATAATGAGTGCTCAAAAAATCTGCTAGGGCCAAACAACTAAATTGAAAAAATTGAAAAAATGATTAATCAAAAAAATTCAAAAAAATTCACTTCTGAAACTTTTGCATAATACAACTAATGAGGTTTCAAATTTATAAAATATCGTAATTTCAAGTCTTTTAAACCAGTTTTTTAAGTTTCCTCCCTTTTTTTTAAGCTTGCAATATGGTACCCATCAGTTCAGAATCGATATTAAATATATCAAATGATAGAAGGAAAGTGATCAACCTTGATTCTCTTATGCGCCACTCCTTATTGATCATTGTGATCAAAAGTTCCTTGAATATCCCATGACAAAATTTTTCAACCTACAATTACAGAAATCTAAAAAAATTTCAAGGGAAAAATGCTTTTTGAATTTATCTTTGAATCAAATTTAATTGCGGTAAAAAAATGTTGACGATCGACTTCAAAATTTCGAAATTTGAAAAACAAACCACATTTTTATCGGAGGATATAACGACATTCCACAAAGATAACATCGCAGACCTAACTTTCATATCGGGATCATACCTGTACCTGTATAGTTTTGGAATAAGCTGGGAAAAATACGGTCTTGCCTTATCCTCAGCTTGTTGAAGTACCACACTGAAACCAAAAGCAGCACCCTAAAAATTTAAGTATGAAATGGGCGCAAATTTTGGTCATAGATCATAAATTACAGTGTCGCTGACACGAATAAAACTGGAAGAGGAAATAAACCCTCCGAAGGAATCTAATAAAGATAAAATTTATAAAACCTAAATAACTAATAAAATACGAAGTTAAGAAACAATCTGTCAAAGAGGTGGCTTATTAAGACAAAGTTTTATATAAACGATTAATTCTCAATTAAACAGTAATTTTATATTGTTTAAAAATTCCTTTCCTAACTTTTTTAGAATCCCAGGTCGCATTATGACTGGCGATTTGTAGAAATTTGTAGATAAGATCAGGTTGATTACATTCAGAAGCAAGCGAACAGATTTCACGATAAGTTGCTAATCTTTCACTAAAAGAATTTTCAATTACTAATTCTTTTTCTAAACAAATATGATGAAAACCCACTTCTTCTTCGTTCGTTAAAAAATGCATAACTTCAATGAAAATTTTACCCAGAAGCTTTTCCAAGCAAATCATCGTAAAAAAGTTGCGTATCAAGTGTTAAAGGTACTGCACGTTTGCGGCCTGCTACAAGTGCAGCCATCAGATCATCCAACATTGTTTTCTTCTGTTCATCATTTGCACTTTCAAATACAATGCCTAATCCTTTGGTAGCAATATCATGTGAAAAATCTAAATATTTCTCACTATTCTATTATATATTTTATCATTTCCGGTCTAATGGTTCTAAAAACTTTCAATTATACTCAAAAGCTCTCAAAAGCATAATAGAAAATCGCAAATATCACAATCAAAACTGAAAATCTTTAAAAATCTTTTTCAAGATCTTTTAAAAAACGTTCTGCAAATATTATTAGAATAACCAACCATTATTTTCTGCAAGACCATCGATAAATGCGAGTTGTATTGTAGCAAGATTATCAAAAATAATTTTCATCTTCGCTCGTACACCATTTTTAGAAAGTATATAAAGCCAAATAATCGCCGCTTGGCGAAGATGACAATTAGAGTGGCATAATTTTTTACTAAGAATCAGATTTAATATTTCTTTCATTCTTGCTTCAGCTTTGTATTTCATTTCATCTTTCAAATGTTCATTCTAAAAAATCCACCTAATTTAATTATTTAAACATAAAATCGTAAAATAATAAAAAGAAATGCATGCACCGACGTCATATCTTTAAACTTACAATGAATTTTTCTTCCGTATCAACAAATAAATCTCGGCGAGAAGCGGAACATTCACCTAATATTGCGTCAAAAAGCGATTCTCCAACAAAAAATTGGACCTCAGGTTGAGGTGGACCCTAAATTCTTTATGAAATGAATTCTTTATGCAGAGAAAAAGTATTCTATCAAATTAATCAAATCAAATTAAACACTGAAATGTTAATTAAAATTCTGAAACTAGGTTATTTTTGAAATAATTAAAAGTTTTTAAATAAAAATAAGATGATTTTCTAAATAACTTATGATTATAAAAATTAACCTCTCCGATTGCAACTAATTCTGCGATGATGCTTTCGTATAAATTAGCTTGAAGATTCAATGTCGATAAAAAACCTAGACATTTGCACGCGCATTCCTTCACTCCAGTGGTAAATATATTTTTACGTGATGAAGCTATTTTACCCAGAACAGAAATCAAAGTTATAAATTCTTCATCACAGCGAAAATCCCATAGTTTTATCTACAAATTAATCTTGAAGAATTATTATTTTAGAAAATAGCCAAAAATTTGAAAAAAAAATTTAAATCGAAGTTGCAAAAACCTTTAGTTGAAAAAGTTATAATACAAATTTTCTAAAAAAATTTATAAAATAAAAAAAATCTTGATATATAAGATAAAATAAAAGTACCAGATGATCGACTGTAATCCTTCGAAGAGACGCTGCCAATGCTCCACATAGCGCACCAATAATAATAGTTGGATGGTTGAGCTGTTCTTTTAAATAATAAAAAAAAAGATTATGAAAGTCCCACAAATATGCAAGATTTACACTAATTAATGGATGACAAACGACATGGGCATAAATCCATGGCACACAAACTTTTTCATCCTGAAATATGTTAATATTCTATGCTTCCATTAAAAACTCGATCAGTTCAACTAGAATTCTTCGAAAGCTGACAAAAACTTACACGATTTTTAAGTGCTAATTGACATTTTTCCAATAATTCGATCTTCTCATCAATATTCTGAATTAAAACATAAAGTTCAGCCGTATTCGAGTTTTGACTGAGACGAGTTGACAAATTTAATATGCGATCAACAACCGTTATTAACTAAAATGAAATTTTCAAAAAAGAATAGCAATAATAAACAAAGAATGATGAAAGAAAAAAGCATGAAAAACCTGTCTCCGTTTTCCACCATCAATCCGTTGTCCAGTACTACGCATTAAAATTAATGCTACATCAATAATACTCTGGCCTATAAAATTCTGCATAAATTTTTCATTTTCAGATAATAAATATTAAATATGAAAAGAACCAAAGAAAAAAAAAGAAACTTGGTCGATATTCCAAGGCCATTAAGATGATATCTAAGAAAGCATCAATAGCTTGTGAATCCTGATGGTCTAAATTTTTAAGAAAACCCGCAATCAAAGGCAATTCTGTTGGATTTTGAACAGTTTCATCCGAAGTAGAAGGCGGTTGATCAAAGCTGACACGAATGATGCCAACTAGATAATTCACCACCTTAACATAGTCAATAAGCTACTCTATACATTAAAAAAATAAACCATTATAAAAAAAGTCAATTTTCATTTAAAGCCTAGATAATTCTTAATTTATTCATTTATCGAACTTACCATACAAATCGTTTCGCCTTGATTGACGGAAAATTTATATCCCTGCTCAATATCTTTATCTTTATATTGGTGGCAAGCTTTGATCTTCTCATAAAAGTATTTCACTATGTCCTAAATAAATTGTTATAACATTATAATGAAAATTTACATAGATAAAAAATAATGAAAATGATACATTACGGTTTAAAATGAATGCATTGCTCTAAGTATCACATCACCAAAATTACCAAAATTTAACTATCGAAAACTTTATAGTATCAATTATAAAAAATAATTACAAATATACTTCGAAATTAGGTATGAAGTTTTTATCTGATAGCGAATCCTCTAAAGAATGCGCAGCTTCTTTTCGCAACTTCTCATCCCTATAAAATTAACTAAAAAATTAACTAATTATATATAGTTAAATTGAACTGAAATGCGAAAATATGAGGAATTTTGAGAAAAATTATGGAAGTGAATTTATAATAATCTTCAAAATCAAAAATGAGATTTGGGTAGCCCAACAAAAAGAAACAAAGGTAGGGTAAAATCGACGGAAAGGAATAGATTTAATAAGTGTAAAATGAGTATTCAATAAAATTTATACTCATATTTAAGAAAAAAATAGAGCTTTCAAGTGTGAATTGGCATGTATAAACTAACGGATTCGCACATGCTTGACAAAGCAACCATTTTATACCAAAATGAGGTGATCTGGCTAACCCAGCAGCATATTTTAAGCATATAAGACGACAAGTCTGAGATTCCTAAAAAGAGAAAAAAGTTAAACACTAAAACTGTCGTGATGAATTATAATATTATGACCATTATACGAAATAATTATATAACAAAACCTTACATTTTGAATATATATTGAGATTAAAGTCTCAAGAACGCTTAATTCTGCAACATCATTTATTTCACAAAAGGCAGGCAACCAAACTTGAAGGCATTCAATGGCTGCGGAAGTTACATCGTAATCGTGAGTCTGAAAAAAATTCTTCTAACAGCTCTCACCATTATTAATTAGGATGGCTCCTCTGGCTACAAGAGTAAGATGTATCCAAGCTGCTCGGTTCGACGTCATCGTTTGTAATAATGGAAGTCATTCCTTTTTCTGACGTCTAAGTCCATATATCGCTGGTCAACCTATGCGTTCAAAATTTTTCCTGACTATATCAGTTCAACTCTTGACCGGCTCTCTCCACTTCACAAGGTTCGGAAAGTAACGACAAATCCTGTAATGGACGACGAAGAACGTGTCCGAACCAGCGAAGGCGACACTCTGTGATCATATTTAATACAAGTGGCATTTGAGCGAAGATGTATACAATCATTTGCGATTTTATCCGCTTGACGTACGGTGTTTGAGTAATTAAAGGCTGATAGCTTCTTAATATGCTCCACTCTCACTGGCAATATCTCACAGCCATTAGTAAGATCGAACAAATTGCTGCTATATAAACGCGGATATTCGTCCTTATGGTGATTTCGCGACTGCTCCATAAAGGTTTCATCAGCTGGAAGAACACATGTCAAGCTACCACTATCCGAGTTTTAATTTCATATTTTGCCTGGTCATTCGGGATTAGAGTGGATCCAAGATATTTAAAGTTTGGCACTTCGGCAAAGAATTGATAGAAAATAGGTATTTTATGGGTATCAGCTTCTTATATAAGACGAAAAGATTTTCGTTTTATTTACAGTGAATCTGAGCATAATTCTAGCTGAGTTGTTAACACATAGTTTAGCATTATTTTTATTTCATTATAGCTGTAAGCAAAAAAGACTATATCATCATCGTATTCAAGGTCTATGATGCTATGCTCTGGGTTCAGTGCCAAAAAGCGATGCCCATTATATATCGCATAGTTGAATATTGTAAGGGAAAGGAAGCAGCGTTGACGAACACAACTTTTTATTTCGAAAGAGATCACTCAGTTCCACATATATACTACAGATTTGCCAACGTATACTAATAAAATACCTTTATGAGCCACATGATCTCTGGTACATTCCATTCACTTTCCAGAGCGAAGCTCAATTGAATCAACTGGTGCTGGAAAAAATATTTTCAAAAAACGAGCCGTTCGACTAAACAACATCGTTCAAGATTGACTTTTGTCAATTTTTGATAATTAATCGATTTTTAACCTGGCCGTCGCAATATCGAAAATACATGTGATGGTGGGTTACCGATATCTAAAATGATGTTCCTTTCTTAACGTGAATATCTGGTCAGTACAACCGCGTCCAGGTCTGAATCCAGCTTGATTAAGGCGGATTCCACTATCCAGTGTTGCCACGAGCCTATTTAGCAGAAAGGAAGCGAAAATGCCTACTAGAATAGGCTAAATCTGCGTCAATTCCGCAATTCTGTCATATTTTTAAGAATTAAAAACAAACTTATTTTTCTCCAGTTTGCTGGTATTATTTCCTTTTGCCATACCAAAGAGCACATTTGTTGAAGGTGAGTTATGAATGATGATGGACATTTGAAGAATTCGCCCCATCTTCTCCGGGAGTTACAGAGATTATTTTTTTTTGATTCGACGAGCGAATCCGTGACAACAGATAGAATATCGTTTGGTCTCAAAAAATTCTCTCCATCTTTTGAGGCGATCCTTAAAGCTTTAACAGGCGTCCCATTAATATTCCGTATCATTTCACTGATCCTTTCTCGAATTATAGTTATTTTGAAGTTGAAGAAAATTTTCGTATTAACATTTAACCGAGCCTACCGTCTGTCAAGACTATATCGCTTCAATAACGATTTATATCGATTTATACCGTGCTGGTGGGCTTTGGTAACTTTTTCAGACAGATGGATATTTGCTACCGACACCCAACTAGCCCAACTAGTAGATTTCTTTCTAGTATATCTTAGTATGGAAGTGACTGATTTTTGGAGCTTTGCCTTTAATTGGAAATTTCATCTGCTGATTCAGAGAGGTCACTGATATTTATTACATTCAGGTGTTTCAATAATTTGAAATGCGCTTACTATTCCAGAATTTTTGAAAGATCTTGGGGGATACTATTTTTTCTATTGTCAATATTTTATATTTTGGATCTTGGCTCGGAACATAACATGGTTCATGAAGGTTGGCCGTTTCAGCGATAGGAACGACTATTTAGCACGGAACTCTTCCAACGACGACTGATTAAAATAGAATCAATCTGGCTGGGGTGTTGGTTATCTAGAGATTTCTAAGTGACTAGATATCTTCCACGATGCCGGAGGCATGAACCGTGGCATTAGTAACAAAAAGTCCATATTATTCAGCAAAGCGAAGACATTCTCCATTGGCACACCATCTCGACTCAAACAGTGGCCAAGCTCATCATTGTGGCATCGCCATTGAAGTTCCACATAGATTTATTCTTATCTGTGCACAAAGACATACTGATGACGAAAATATTCCATAACTTTTTTCTAAAGCAAACAAAGACTATATGGTCATCGGTTCCCATTCAATCACAGAGGACCAAGCCTTTTCAGGCGTAATAATCGGCGAGCCATTTCGCCCCGTATTATCCGAAACACCACAGTAATATAGCCAGTACCTCTTCTTGGATCCGGATTTAGTAATTATTCAAGGAAACAAATTTCATCAGTTTTTTCAGAGATGTCACTGATATTTATTTATATTTATATTTATATCACGAAGTGAGGAAGATGAACTTCTAATAAGCACGCGACATCCACACGATATTTAGAAAGAGTGTTTACAGCGATCGCTTGATTTGCATCATACATAATCGTTA